AAAAAAAAATAGCAGTCTCCACTATGATTAGTCTTTTCTCCCTCATTCTTCTTAATCAATGCAAAAAGACAGAAAAATAAATACATCTGGCAACATTGACATTTGTGGTTTCCAGAGGAGAATAAGAGAACTAACAACAGAAAGCAAGAATGTATCCTCTATTTTTTAAGCTTTCAAATTCTTAAAGATGATTAAGAGATAGTTGGGCAACATAGTGTAAAGTAATATCTCTTATCTGAGGCATTTTTCACCTTCAGCCTATCTTATGAGCACTAAAGGCAGGTATTGTGGTTGACCAACTGTATCGGTTGTCAGCACCTCAACAGGAGCACAAGAAGTGAAGAGCAAGGATAACAAAAGGTTTGTTAGAAATGGCAACAGCCTATGTACAGCAAAGCCTGCAGTGTGCAGATGGGGAAAGAGCTGGTGTCACAGAGACCTCTCCTTTTAGCTGTGCATACCTGCTGTGCACTTAAATCAACTCTATCACATCTCTGGTCCTCTGGGAGCTGCATTAGCACACCACAACTGAATTATTAATGGTTTATTTCCCAAACCCCCACATCTCTCAGGCACAGGAGAAAAAGAAATAAAAATCTGCCATACTGAGTTGGGTAAAACGTTTCTCCAGCCTACTCACCCTGTCCCTACTGGTGGCCATACACAAATGCCTAGAGAAAATACATAAAGTCAAATCAACAAAGTATCATTCAATCCACCAACTTTCAAACTGCTTTTAAGAAGACAGTAAGGAGATACTTTATTTCTCCATCAACATTTCAGTTAACATTATTGGGTTGCTCTTAACTATCTCTTTATTACTACCCCAAACCTGCATAAATACCTTTTTTTAATTACACAAAATGAAAGAAAAAAAAAAAAATCCCAATAACATTCTGTTTTTAAGGAAACGTTATCCACACGCACTGAAAAATCGGTGGAGGACTCAGAATATTCACACATGTAGCATCTGTCCCCTCAAAGGAAACAAAAGGGGAAACAGAACAAAAGTGACTGGTCAAACAAAGCAATGGACCAAGTAGCTGGACATGATGACTCTCTTACTGCAGCTGCTTGTCATTGCCATCACTAAAAAGCCATTTACAGACAGCCATGCTGAGGAAAGCGAAGTTCCTGCACCAAATTCTGTCTAGATAGCAAAGAGCAGAGTTCAAGTGACTTAGAAAGTGTTTCTGTTCTTTCTAGTTTGCCTCAAATCACAGCTCAGTTTTATTTTGGTAAACTTGCTGCCTGCTCTCTGTCCCCTTCTAGTGCCTCCTCCCTTCTCTTAACACTACAAGCTCTTTAGAAATGATGGATGACACCTGTGGTGATCATTCAAGGGCTTAAGTTTCTTGCAAAGGATCTGCTTTATTTTCTATTTGGTTTTAATTGGCTGTGCATAATAACAAAAGGGGCTTCACAGCCCCCTGCCCACAGTCTCTGCCTGAGAAGCTCAGCCCTTAAAGGCACAGTCCTCACTGCCACAGCATCTTCTGGAATCTTAAAAGAGTAACATTTAAAAATGTACAAAATAAACAAAACAGACAGATTTATATCAACCTCATAAACACACAAACTCTGCTGTCTACATGTAGAGACATGATAATTTATAGCTAGATATTGCAATCAGTTATGTTTACAGTATGATATGGGCACTTACACCATCTGTGCACTGGCTTATCTGAGAAGAACCTATCTGTGAGAAACAGGCACCATTTTAAGATGAGCATGTTAATTATCACTGAAAATTAAGTCTTTTGGGCCTTCTTTTCTTCCCTCTGTCCCTGGCTGAGGGGACTCAACTGTGTAGTTTAAATCAGCATAAGCCAATCTTAATGCCCCAAAATTTGTCCTGACAGCACTTCTGTGGCCATGCAGTGCAGTGGATTGGGAAACTGAGCAAGGCTGAAGTACACTCAGCTACATAGTGGTAAAATGAGGAAGAGAGAAAGGAGGAGAAAAAGAGAGAGAGGAAGAGAGGAAGAGAGGAAGAGAGGAAGAGAGGAAGGAAGAGAGGAAGAGAGGAAGAGAGGAAGGTAGAGAGGAAGGAAGAGAGGAAGAGAGGAAGGAAGGGTGGAAGGAAGGAAGGGTGGAAGGAAGGGTGGAAGGGTGGAAGGGTGGAAGGGTGGAAGGGTGGAAGGAAGGGTGGAAGGGTGGAAGGAAGGGTGGAAGGGTGGAAGGGTGGAAGGGTGGAAGGGTGGAAGGGTGGAAGGGTGGAAGGGTGGAAGGGTGGAAGGGTGAAGGAAGGAAGGAAGGAAGGAAGGAAGGAAGGAAGGAAGGAAGGAAGGAAGGAAGGAAGGAAGGAAGGAAGGAAAGACACCTCAAGGAGGAGGAAGAGGGAAAGAAGAAAATAGTCCTAATGGGAAGAAAGCAGTCTATTTTTCAAAACAGTGGTGAGTCACATCAGCTTAATTTATCTGTGGAATTACAATACCAGAGGATGCTGCTTCATATAATGTCCAATCCAACCTGACTGTGTGGTGCTACCAAATACAATATTCTCCCTTGTCTCTTGCTGGATCTCATGAGTCTTTGGCCATGGCATACATCAGATCACGTTTATTGGTCCTACCTTCTCACCAGGCTGTACATTGTAGGTGTGCAGTGCCAGATCTGATACAAAGAACACAGAAAGGGGAAGGTGGTGTGTAGTGGGACAAAGGGCACTCAGCTCAGCCTGCAGTTAAATCAGAATAACGATACAGATATATACAGATAAAGATATGTATAAACTGCACTCAAAGGATGCAGAGGCAACAGATGAGTGTCTTACTCCAACACTCTTTTCTCTCACTCACTCCTACTGATCAGACAAGGTTTGGAAAAAGATTTTGCTTCAGCTACACTGATTACCAGAGTTTGGAGCTCCCATCATGTTCAACTTCCACAGGAAAGGCTCACTTCTGTTTAAATAATTGAAAACAAAACTCCATTTTTTTGCTTGTTGGTTAGTTGTTAGAGCATAACTGGTATAGGATAAACAGGAAGAGTCAACACAACAATTTATCTTACCAACTGAACTTAAAAAACAAAACACAACAAAACACAACAAAACAAACAAACAAAAACATTTAATTAACCTAAGCTCCCTGAAATGCTGGCAGGAACATTACACACAGGCTGGAAATACTCCTGGGAGCATGCATCTGGTTGTACAAGGTCTTGGGGTACTCACTTTGTAACATCTATTGCCTGTTTGAGCAAACACTCAAATAAATATGGGGTTGGGTACCTCCTTCCTTTTTGGAACTTTCTACCGGTAAAGTATAACATTCTGTTTCCTAGTTATATATTATTTGGTGATGAGATCTACATGCAAGCGATGAATATTGATGTCTTTTAACACCTTCTCTTCTTGGCCCTGTGATTTCTCAGCCATGTTTCCACAAGAGAATGAATTATTTGGACACACATGAAAGATCCAAAATATTGTAGACTGGTAAGCAAAATAGTAGAGCTAGTATACACTCACTCTGTGGATTCAAATTTGTATTAAAAAAAAAAAAAAAAAGATTTAAAAGTTAACTTTGTTCTAGCAGATTTTCTGCCAGATCATGTATCAGCTGTCCTCTTGTGGTCAGCAAGAAGCCAGAAACAATACTGTATAATGTACATTTTAATTTGACAGAATTTAGCTAGTTTGACAGAAATGTAGTCATATACTCAGGTCTGATCCAGATGAAATTTGTAACAGGAGGTGATCTGGTGGTTTTCCAATCAGGTATTTCTGGATGTAGAACCCTAGTGCCAGCACAATAAAATTTACTAAATCCTCTTTTAATCCTCTACCTGAAGTTGCAGGGGATTTCTAGAAGCATGAATCATGGAACAGGGATTGTTTTCTCTTTTTAGTTTTGTGTAGTTTTTATAAGAAGCTCTCAACTGTCTCCTCAGTTCTGTGGTCTTGAATCTACTGACAATCTGTGGCTTAGCTCAGCACAGTGTACCACTGCAAATTCCTTTCTATCCAAACATTTTATTCTCCTGTGCCTGCAGTGAGTAGAAGCTTAGCAGTGGAAACCTTCAGTTTAATTGTTTATTTTCAGAGGTACTGGTTCCCTTCAGTGTAAACAAAACTGCTTTTTGTGTAATTTGTTGCTAGAAACAATGTCCAAAATAATTTAATAGATACTTTAATTGCTTTCAAATTAATAGCCCAATCATCTCACATATTGCTCAACATGCTCAGAGAAAATCCTCTGGATTAATGGTGCTGTTGTTACTGTCTGTGTCTATGGTGTGCTTCATATTCATACACCACAATGCTAATGCAAATAGCATTAATGCTGGATTCTATATCTGCGGTATATATAACCTTCTCTCTTTCTTTACATATTTCTAGTGCAGCAATCTTTACGTTTTGCACTTTACTGGAATATTGACTACTTTCCATAATTTTCATCTGGATAAGGGGCATCTCTTTCACAAATTGCAGGTATCTCCCAGTGTCTTACCAGCAGTCAGGAATGTTTGAAATCTGGTCTCCTAAAGGGACTCAGCCCTCAAAATTTCAAAATAATTCTTCCTTATGTACAGAAATCATGAATGCTCCTGTTAATTTATCTCATGCTTGATGATCTCATTTAAAGTATTTAAAATTACACTATCCATATGTGTGTACATTTTCAACTTTCCAAGAAATATATAACTCTTGAAATAGACTAAATTTTCTTGGTATTATGTTCTGTTTAAATAGATGATTAAAATCAGAATTATTGCACCCATTTACTGTCAGAAATTATGGGAACTTTTGTCTTCTTCCTTGTTGCTTCCAGTTTTTTGAATGCAATCATAATTAAATACACTGAATTACAACTTAAATCTCCTTGGTTATCCCCTTCACTCACAGAAAATTTAACATGTGAGGGGCTTTTAAACCTACTTCCAGCTACTCAGTTCAGTTATTTTCCCACTTTTCCCAGATTTTTATTTATTTATTTATTTATTTATACTTTGTGATACATTCTGCTTTCAGTTTTCTCTAGTACCAGCAGTTGTTTTTTTTTTTTTTTTTTTTTTTTTTTTTTTTCCTGAAATGTTTATTTGGTGCCTGGATTCAACTGAAAGTGCCCAATGAAGATAGATGAATTCTCTACCAGCCATTCATGTGCATGTACTTTTTCAATGATGCCTAAAAATAGCAGCTTGTTCTGCATTAGCTCTTACACTAAAACGAATCTGTATCAGTAGCCAATATTCAAAGCCATTCTGCTCAATAATTCTGATTAATCATGCTACCTTGACTGAAGAATATACACATATATATGTACGTACGTATAGATACATATATATATCCGTAACAGAAAAGTTTTCTGTGAGAAGGTATGAAACAGGCACCAAGATGTGCCCTATAGAGAAACAGGGAGCAGAAGATGAAGGATGTGAAAAGGGATGTGATGAGAGGCATGGAACAAGGCAAAATCAGTTGACATTTTGAATATGATTGCATTGAATATCCAGTCAGCAAAATTGGACAGGAAATGTCATGATAATATGCTTTCTTATGCCATTTACAGTACTTCCTGCTTCCAGTCAGGACAGATATTTCACCAGAAGAGGCTTTTTAGCTTTCTACCATGGAAAAAAAACAAGGAAGTACAAAAATTCACAAAAATAAAAACATTAAAAATCACACTGTGTTTTCAAACTTTTTAAAAGGACTGCTCCCACTACACATGGACAAGACTTTGACTTTATTTAACCTTGTTTTCCTTTACTTTACCCACTTCCACAATGAAATATGGTGATCAAGAAAAAAGCTCATATGCAAATGTTAACATTTCTGACTTTGGTATGTTTGAATCTAAGGATTTGGTTCAGGTTAGGTAGAAACAAGCTCTAGTCTAAATGCCGTTTGTTTTTCAACATTTGAGGTGCCTGGAACTACACTTAAAGTCATCTCAACCCAACATATACATACAAAGAGATGACAAAACATTGGAACTTTAGAATGAGTCTAAATCCCAGGAAAACAAACAACCTAACAAACAAACATAAACAAATATACACAAAGAAAACACAACAAACAAAACCAAACAACCACACTTTAGATGATGCAACAGTGTACAGGGTCTGGCTGAGATGGAGTTAAATTTCTTCACAGCAGCCTATATGGTGTTTTGCTTTAGATCTGTGACCAAAACAATGTTGATACTTCACCCGTGTTTTAGCTACTGCTGAGCAGTGCCTGCGCAGCATCAAGGCATTCCCTGTTTCTGACTCTGCCCCATTGAGTAAGGAGGCTGGGGGTGTGCAAGAGGCTGGGAGAGGGTAGAGCATGGACCAGTGACCCCAGCTGATGAAAGGGGTATCTCATGACAGATAACATCATGCTTAGCAATAAAAGACGTGTGCCTTCTTTGAAAGGTAGTCTTTGCTCAGAGGCAGGCTGGGCTTTGGTCTGCTTGTGGGAGGTGTTAAGTGAGTGCTGTTATGCTGTCATATCATTTTTTTTTCCCTTTATTTATTAAAATTCTTTATCTTGACCTATTATATCCTTCTCACATTTGCTCTTCCGAGTCTCTCCTCTATCCGGATGTGAGGGAGTGAACGAGCAGCTGGCGAGTGCTTTGTTGTTGGCTAGGGTCAACCCACCACAAACAGGAAGGTACACATTTTTTCAAAGGGAAGAAATGAAAATAAAATAATTTCTGTGCTAACTCTACAGAATGGAAGTAGAAATAAAATAGGAAGGACACTCTTCATTTTTCAAGTCAGGATATGCCAAAGGGGCATATCACATTTATGAATGTAACAAACATCTGTCTCAGGTGCCACTTCTTTCTTAGTGGGCATTGGATTTGGATACTTTGATTGTGTTTCTAGTCTATAAAACTGCACATATGAGCAGAAGTTTCATCACACTGTTTGTGTCTCAACAACAAATTTTAAAAGAAGCCTATAAATCTTTTACTCCTCTATAGAAAATGCATCATCCAGACACTAAGTGTTACAACACTAAAAAGAGATGGGTAAGCGTGCTCTATTTTAAAGACAAAGAAGTCAAGAAAAAGACATGGGGTGATCAGTGCAAGGCCACAGAAAGTTGGTGTCAGGGTTAGGGCTGGTTGCCTTTCCTTCCTCTTAAACGCGCCTTCAGGTCTGTGAAGGACATTTTGCTTCTGTCAACAGCTCACGTAGTTTTCTTTCTTTGTTTCCTTGGGAGTCCTGAGACAGCAGAACATATAGAGTACTCTACTTTTGAAACACCATTTGCTACAATTATGTTAAAAATACCAGCTGCTGATGAACCACTACCTCTGTCATGCATGACTGATAATACCAATTTGTGCACCTCAAAAAGGCCAGAGAGGTGCATACTTTAATTTTGTGTATTTATGCTTTCCAATTTAATCTTTAGTTTAATAATTCAATAATGGCACTGTTTCCCCTCTTTTTTTATTAGTCACTGGCCCTTTAAACCGAATGGCAATGATCATAAGAGTTTTTTTCATGTCTTTCATGTTATAGTAAAGAATTTGTAGATATTTTTTCCCCTAAGTCACTGTTGAATTTGACAGCAGGACTATTCATTGCAGAACTAGCTGCAATTAGAGCAATTATGCAGATCACACATCTTTCCAGTTTAATGTTTTTTGTTTTGTTTTATTTTGTTTTGTTTTGTTTTTCCTTCTCTTACTGCAGCTTCCCTAAGCGAAAGAGGAGGATAAGCAAAGGCAGTCAGACAAGTGGACCACCTACTGACTAGGTTCCACCACGGAATTGGAGAATTTGTTAAATACCTTTGTGCTGGAGGAAATTCCTGCCGGGTGCTTTGCATCTCAGCTTGCCAAAGGTCATCATTACAACAGCACCCCATGCTCTGTTCCTGCTTCCCAGGCAGGAAGGGGATGGCACACTCTACAAACACTGATATACCTCTGTTCTCTGCAAAGTGGCTTAGGGTGGAAAACTGAACCAAACTGTGAAGCAGAGAGAAAACAGCACTGAGAATATCAAATATAGAGTAGCCTGCATTGCATAAGTTGAAGAAGGAAAGCACTCTTCATCTTAGGCACCTGTTTATTTAGCTCCACCACAGAAATTAAAACCAGGTCACTAATGAAGACATGCAGCGCATGGTCTCCTTACTGAAAAAGCATACTGACTTACTGCAGGCTGACAGAGCATCTTTCAAAAATCTATCCTCAGTCACACCAGACACCTCTACACAGCCTGACCTTCAAAGCACTGTGTGAATGATGTAAGAAACTGCTGTCCTGAAAGGCACAGCTATGAGCATAATTCTTGTCCTCCAGACATAGAAATGTTTAAAAGCCTAGAAATCAGAAAACTGCCCTTAAATACTTAACTGAAAGGAAAATTAAGGTCTCTAACATTCATCTGTAAGATGGTTTATTGGCTTGGCAGCAATGCCTTTCTACTCCTGCTTTACTGATTTGCTATCAAGGAAATCTCTCAAGTTGTCTGTAAAGCAAATAGAAATATCAAGCTTCAAAATCATACAGGTAACTTTACAAACAAATAATTTACTGTGTAACATCTGCTAAACACACAAACATAATGGAGTCAGTCAATTGACCACTCCTAACAAAGGTCATGCAGTAACATGAAAAGAACTGTTGGAATATCAACAGTATTTTTTTAATTCTAAACTTTCAAACCAAACATATTCTTGAAGGAAATCTGATGGCACTGATATCTTCTCTTCCCTGGGGACAACTTGGTTTCATGTGAGTGCTCAGTTAGCAGTAAATACTTTACTTAAGTTTTTAAAACATTTTAAACAACAATTTGCTCTAATAAGAAAAAAAAAATTTGAAAAAAAAATGTCTTTTGAATATATGGATTTTTGCCTGCAGACATCCACAGAAGATATGTGTGTATGAAGATACGTATGAATCTAAGCAGAATTGTGTTTAGCAATTGTTAGTTCTAATTGTGCAAAAATATATTTCTTACAAGTGTGAGCATGTTATGCAGACTTTTCCCCTCAATCACAGATAGGGATACATCCGCATCCAAATGTGGAAAGACTATTCTAATTATGAAGGTCTTTCAATGCGCTGCTGCACTCACATTGTCAAAATCTCCAGCACAGTACAGCCCTTTTGTTTTGTCTTGCTGGAAGAAACAGATCCAAGAAGGTTCAAATTTCACTGCTCATTCTCCTTATGAGACTAGCAAGAAATGTGTAATATAGGCAGTTTTACATCTTCACAACCTGGGGACCCGTGTTTGACTTTTAAGAGAATTTGCAGCTAGTATAAAATAAAGCAACCATTATAAGATAAAGAAAAAATTTAAGGAGGTTTGCAGTAAAATCAATGAAGTTTAAAGGTCAGTCTTCAGTGTCTCCTTATCATGTGCTATGCAGACCAACTGCGCAAACAGCACAAGATTCATAGACAAATGCATTACACACATGTACAGACTTTGTTAACTCAACCTGTGTCTGTGTATGGGCCTGATTTTAAAAGTCCTTAATAAAATGAGTCTCATTAATGTCAAACTGCTTGATTTGGGACCTGATTAAAAACCATTTGACATTAATGAGACTCATTTTATTATGGGCTTCCTAAAAGTTGGAGTTCAGATCTGAATTTTACTTGACCTGAGCAAAAGCCCATGTGAAATGCATAGAACCATGATTTTACCTTTAATTAGGCTCTATTAAGGGCTTCAAATGATTTAAACATTTATGCTACTTTGACATCCAATTAAGGACATCAGTTTACTGTTAACATTTGGGAAGGGTAGCGTAAGCTTTTAACTTGTCATTTCTAAAGTACAACAATCACTTCATCTAATTCTAGCTTCTATCTATTCAGATAAATGGAATGAATAATGTTAGCTAGAACTTCCAACACATTATAACAACTAGAGGTTCAGCAGCAGCAGGAAAGTATTAGTTACGTTTGCAATACACAGTCTCACACAGGCAAGCCTAGCAGGTATGAGAGGCTGCTCCTCTAATAAACACCATGTTATGAGATGATCCCACATTGCCCCTTGCTGCTTCCATGGCCTTCTTGACAATGCACACCAGTGAGAAGGGGCAAGGAGCAATGTCATACCACATATCAAATACGTCTTGTACTTACCTACACTGTTGCACTGAGGTATACACTTGGTATAAACTCAGTATAATAACCTCTTTCTGTAAGTCACCATTTTCTCAAATTAGTTTCCCTGGCTGCTCCAGGGGCAGCAGAGCAGCATGGTTTTCTTAATAATGAGTTCATGGCAAAGCCAGAGCCCTGCCCAGATAATTTTAGTTTTTCATGGCAAATCCTGCTATATTTCTGAACATAACTGTTTGTCTGATTTTTTCTTAGTTTGTTTTATGAACACTTACAGGTGGTTTTCCAACATGTTATGCAACATGCTATCTTTAAAAATCAGTTTTTTGAACATCTGGAAATAAAACTTTTGAATTAACAGTCACATTTTCATCATTTTCAGAGTCTGTCAGGCTTTGAGCTTTACTTTCTTGCCTTTCCAAGAATAAATCTGGTAATCTCTTCTGACTTTTATCAGGTCACTCCAACTTTCTGTGATATTCCTTGTGAATGGATTTCATTATGTAAGAACAAGTTTCCTTGAGACATTTAGTTGCTACAGCTGGCTTCCATGTGTTAACTTCTCATCCTGACAGTATCTCTGTGTGACACTAGAGATGAAAAGCTTTCCAGTTGTGTTATATTGTTTTCTTTGTTTATGTTGAAAGGTTTTCCGTTTGGTCCTCACCTGTGATATTACTGGTGCTGAACAAAGCGTGTTCTGTTGGAGGAGGAATTCTTGTTTTCCTAGCGCATGCAGCAGTGTTCAAGCATCATTTCCTGTAGCCAAAGAAACAGTAACAATATTACTCAGAAATGGTTGCATCATCTTTGTCATCTTGAGACCATTTCACAGCCAAGTTAACAAAATTTGTCTGTGCTTCCAGACATTCCAAATCAGGAATGAATACACATTGGGACCCAGCCCACAGATATTCAGCTGGCATTGTACAGTTGCGTGATCAGAGTCAGTGCCCTCACCCAATTATGCTGGAAACATACCATACTGATTCAGTGAGCTGGATTCAACTCTCTGTTACTCTAACGTAAAGCTGGAGTATTTCCTCTGATGACAACAGAGAGTGATAAACAGCTGCAGACCTGATCAGAAAATAGGCCAGAATTAGAGCTGAACAAGTAACTTGAAATATAAATTGCCTAAGCAAGTACAGCACACTGGCTTTAGGAGTCTGTTGCATGTCGCTGGATTCCTCCGCTTCACTGGAATTAACAGGATTGAGAATACAGCCCCTTTTTCATTTTATTCAATGTCTAACAACAACAACAACAATAAATATATATATATATATAAATTGTCATTTCTTATTCATTATTTGAATACTGGGAGTGATTATGTTTGCTCTGGCTTTGTTTACTTTATTGGTGGATAGATGAAGTAAAAAGTGAACTAACTGACACAGGATATACCAAAATCCATCTGTGCTGGCAAGTTTTAACTGACCATGTAAATCAGAGGGTATTGTTTCTGTCTCTGATGCTACAAGTGTGACTCTGCTGGTCAGAAGGAGGTCTTGAGAAAGCCCAGTCTTTTTCCTCTCTCAGGGAGAGCTAGCATGAACATTTTAAGCTGTTTTCTCTCTGGGTCACACAGGCCTTGCCCAAGGCACCATTCCCGGAAATAAATAAATAAATAAAATATATAAGATTTATTTTCTGAGTAGAGCTTCATGTAACTTTTAAATGTCACATTCACATTGTGTTTGTATCTGTGAGCACAATTATGTTGCATTCATGAGACTCTCATGAAAGGTTCACAGAAAATAATGAACTGGTGGACCGGATCTGAATGATAATCTATTCACTGTAGATATATGTCTTACATTGTGAATATTGAAGTTCAGGGCTACTGACCTTCAGAACTGACTAAAACAAATCCTTTCCTGCATCAAAACAAATCCTTCTTCAGCAAATAATTATGTGGTACATGTACACTGAGGAAGTAATTCTTCAGAATACAGGAAGGATAAAGCTTTCCAATGTGCAAACATCACTTCCAGGGTAGCTCTGCATCCATACTCTTTTCTTTTCAGTGATGATTATGAAAGTTTTGTTGTTGATTTTATTTTAACTGTTAACAATTAAAATACAAATACCATATATTAAACTGGCCCCTGCACCATATTTATTTAATGGATTAATGTGCATTTTAAAGCATGGGGAAAACTGATGTAAATGCAAAAGGCCACAGAGAAGTGCCAGACTTTGAACAGGTATCTTGGCAAATGTTCTCACTTTATTCATTTGCTCTGTAAATGCTCAGTTACTGAATTAAAAATTTAAAACCACAAATATTTGGCTCCGAGTTATCCAGCTGAGCAATCAACAAAGAACAGACAGAGGGGAGGTAAGACTGAGACAGAAGGGAAGAAAGAGTGCTAATAGGAATGGAAGAACTTGATGTAATTTAGAACCAGTGTTTTATATTTCTTCCAGAATGAGTGAAACCTTTCCGGGAGCAATCTAATTTCCTCATGAACTGTGGGAGTTTAATTTCCTAACAGAAGAGAAAGGTGGCAAAAACTGTCTTTTGCATCACGCACAATATAAATCCTGACCAAAATCACTTTCATTTTTGAAAACAGCTAAGCCCTCAAGAAAATGTACTTTATTGTCAGTATCACATCATTTACAAAGCTGGGGCATTTAACAGCAAGGAAATGAATACTTAGGGAGATTGTAAATCATATATTGCCCACATAGTAAAGTTGCATAGTATTCTTATCAGTTATAATAAAATGTCTATTTTGGCCTTAACTATGACCAGGGGCTTAACTTTCCTAACTCTCATTTTGGTAATTAATTATTTTATTTTATTAATTCCTTCTTCAGTTATTTCCTTATCTTTTCTCTTTACTGTTTCCTTCTCTCTTGCTATATAACAGAATATAGCAGAAACTAAAATCCCACAAAAATGATTTGCAGACAAATGTTTAAGAACTTGGCTAGACTTAAGATTCAGATGACAGATGATGCTTTTGGCTATAAACATGTTTGTTTCCTTCATTAGTTATTATTCTCCAGCAACAACCTTTCAGACTATAAATGCACAGCTGAGGACAAATGGACACAGAGGAGATTAACAGTCATATGCAATATTCCCAGAACCTTCTGGGATAAATGAGTTGTCCAAATTACTGAGCAGTTAACTCATCTAGATTCCTGTTCTCCTTTCATGGGTTGCTTCCTCCAGTACTAGGTTATGCATTACTGTGTTGAAGACTCACCACTGGGGTAACTTGTAATTCAGAGCTGCCATTTATCGCTCCTGCAGGACTCTGTACTTTGAACATGGACAACATGTTCTGGAGCATTAGGCTCTTATCTATCACAAAGATATGATACCTCAAGTGAGGATCTCTCAGCAATACTGTATGAGATACAATAGAACATCATGGTCATTATCATTGATGAAAATTTTCAGATATAGCTCTTGTTTTTCATGATAAACAGTCGAGCACAGAGAATAACATCCTGAGAGTAGAACACAGAGAACAGCTGTCTTGGTAAGAATGAAGTAGAGAAATGATGAGATGGACAAAGAGGAGAGAGAAAATCTTCACAGCAGCAGAAAGTTGAGCAAAGAAGAAAAGGCAGATGGGCTGAAGAAAGGACCAAAGACTATTTAAAGAAAAGGATGTGAAAGAGAATTTGGGAGAGGAAAGAGCTCTCATCGATGGATTACTTTGTCCTTTGTGCCAAATCAAAGAACACCAAAGAGGCTCTGACAGAAACTGTCAGAGCACCTCCATCTTCAGCATATGGAGCACAGAGTTGTCTGCAGATAAGTGCAACTTCTGCATCCATTATCACAGAAATGCCAGAATTGTCTCCTTAAGGAATCCATATAGCAAAATGATTATCTGAGGTAAGTGAACAGTGTCATCACCTTGAGAAAAACACTGCACTCCCAGCATTTCTCTTTGTAGCTGGGCTATTCTTAATGGGAGCCTGCATTTCTGTCCTCCACCTCCTCTTCCAGACTTCAAATCTGATAGGACTTATCAGAGAGAGATGAGTCATTTCCCAATTTTGTTTAAAAATAAATAATGAATTTATTCTTTCAAAAACTTTCATCTTTGCATTCTTGGCATTGGCTTGACAACTACTATGCAACAGGGAAGAGAATATTCAGTTTTATATGTGGTCACAGTACCCTTCTATTTCAGTAAACCATTCGGCTTCTTCACTAGTCAAGAGCAAGAAGGTTTCTGAAAAGTATCTTAAGACAAAAGGATGTTTCACAGCTGCGACCTTCCACTTCCTGAAGACAGAATTATTGACAGAATTATTGCAGGATTAATTCTTATTCAACCACAGTAACTAGAGGTTATATGTCTTAAGATACCTGTACCCAACTTCTTTCTTGTCTGGAACACAGAGTGTGCAAAAACTTGCCATACCTCAAAATGATAGATTTGTGATCTTTCTGTTTCCTTCCCCATTAATACATTCAACACTTTGAAGATGTATCTCTTGACAGACACAGGTTTTAGTAAAGAAGCTCTTTTTATTTCAAGGCCCAGCAATTGCACTGAAGTTCTGTGCAAAGAAATGTCAGGAATATAATTCACAGGAGTTTTACCAGGATTAGTGGAGAGTCCCAAGTTGAAAGGGATGCTCTAAAACTAGTATTTCTATACATTAGTTAGTGGAAAAGGTGCTCAGATTCTTTCACAGATTAAAGACATGACTTCTTCAAGCAACAAGAAGAGGGCAATGATGATTAAGTATAATCACTCCATCACTTAGTTTTTTAGGCATGAATATGAATATCATGACAAGATGAGTCTCATGGAAGCACTTGAACAAATTAAAAGGAGCAAGAACTAAGCAAACAATCCCACAATGAAAGAAGGTACCAGATATTTATGTGAAGCAGCTAATGCCATCTCTCCTGGTGAGGGGTCTATGATAGTGGGGTTCAGACACAAACAGAGCCAGCCCAACTAGAGCTCTGGAAATGAGGGTAGGCCATCCTGCAAGACACAGGAAGTACTATGTTTCTCTCTTCAATTAAGGACAAATACCTACTGTTTTTTTTATAATGTTCCCAGTTTGCACATTGGAGTAGATCTTCACTTGCCACTGGACCATTCTTTTTAACAGGAATATGACCTTTGACATACAATAACAACAACATATTGATCTAAGAAAAGAACAGTGAAATGAATTATGCTTTTTGACTTGCTGCTTTCTACGATGGAATGATAAGAGAAAAATTCTCTATCTACCTACAGTATAGCTGAGTCAGTTTAACAGATAAGTGTTGCTATAATAATTCTGACTCAGGGAAAGATTGAGAAACAAGTTAACTGGAATGTTAACTCAAATGAACTTGGGTTAAAAACAAAGCAAAACAAAAAAAATCATAATGAACTTCTTCCATGTGGATGAATTCTCCCAGATGAGTCACCTCAGATAAACGCTCTTTCCACCATTAAATGAAAGGTGCTCAAGGTAACTTCCACAGATAGAATTCAGAGCCTCACATTATAAATGTCACTCTGATGGTTATTTTTTGCGTGTATTTGTGATCCTGTACTTCAAACTTTACAGTCTGATGAGGAGATGGAAAGGGAAAATATGTAGTTTGAAAAGAACTCCAGATTTCATGTCACAGGATGCTGGATCAGGCAGTGATGCCACTTGAAAAAGATCCCTTCCTTCCACTATCCTTTCTTTCTTTCTCTCCATGCCTTTGCCATTTATCCTAACTATGCACTATGGTTTCCCAGAAAAGCTAGTAAAGCTGTTTGCATTGCCAATGAGATATCTGAATTAAACAAAACACCACCAAAAAAAAAAGAGGAAAAAAAAAAAAAGAATGATGTAAGTTTTGTTAACATGATTTTAATGATACAGTTTAGATTTCAGCCCAAAGAGGGCTGCGCAAATGGGAAGATGGCAAACGTAAGTGTGCTGGCACAGGCATGAGTACAGGCATTTGGAGTTTCTTCAGATAGTTTTGCTACTAAAGCTATCATCTTTTCAAAGTATGCCTGCCAGTAAGGTCAGAACTAGAATGAGGTGGGAGCCAAACCATCAAAAAGACAATAAACACAATCAAAGAAGGAAAGGTAACAGAAAGCATGGGGTGAATAGAATGGAAAAATATGCAATGCAGCCTTATTCATAAAAATAAAATGAAATCCATATGGTAATTGAATAAAGAAGGTCTCTGCTGATCACGTAACAGCATCAGTCCAACCATCACTGATCAGCAAAAACCCAGACTCATGCCTATTCCAATGTCCCAAAGACCCAAATTCTCTTTTCTCACTACTAGCAGACAGCATCTCACTTATGTCACCAAGTAGGAACCCAGCCTTTATTTTCTTTCCTGAAACACTGAACTTGTGACACTAAATTGCTCAGGGAAATGCAAGGCATGGGTTAGAGCACACCCTGTGCAGAGAACTCCTCTGTCAAATCCCCTTCCCAATTTCCTTCTGTCCCTTTCTCCTGTCCCAGACTCTTTATCTTCACCCTCCGTTTCTTGTCTCATCTACATTCAGGGCAGGAGGTTTTCCTCCTCTGCATTGCCATAAGGGTCATTAAAGACTGCTGTCTGTTACTGTGCTCACTCCCACATTGACTGAGAAGGAATGGGAATAGCAACTGCTCCGTAAAAGCTATGCTTTACTGTGGACTGCACAGACCCTACAGCCTACACACCAGGAATGGTGAGGGTGATAAACTTGAGGATTGGCTCCTGAACTCAGAAAAATGTCTAACATACTGGTGAAAACTGTCACTTAGAATTTGGCCATACATTGGTGGCTTCTCATGAGAACAGTGATGTACTCAAAACAGGGATCACATCCTGTTTCAAAATATAAGGAGACAGGTATTTGCCAAGGAAAAGCTGCTAGTATTATTACATCATGTGCAAATGCAGTGTTTTATATAAACAACTATTATTCTTTTTAAAACAGCCGAAGTTAAAAGTAAATAAAATCAAGGGCAACCCTGAAGCATGGAAAACTGCAGATCAAACAACTGTCTATCAGCAAATTGGATCATGTGATGGCTAATGTCAAGTGACCCAGCTGCACTGTTAGTGAAACCAGTTATGGCTAAAAACAAGGAAATCTTAATGCACTTTTAGATTCCAAAAGTATCCCTGTTTCTAAGGCAAACTCTAAATCACTCTGTGACACGATCTCCACCCCTTGAAGATTTCTACTCTCTTCTCTGAAGAGTATTTTCATCTACAATGCTCTGTGATCTCTCACTCCGAAATCTGATAAATGTTTACCCCCAGTTCCTTCTGAAGTAGTTCTCTGTTCTGTAAGGTCTTCAGGAGCCAGCATGTCGGCTTGCAGAACTTCTTGGAGGACTTTGGGCTGTCCCTTGCTTTGAATGGTGTTTTCCATCTTAATTATGACCTGAGGGTGACTAACACATCTCTGGAGCATTGATCTGTGAAACTCAAACAGAAAAATGTTGGAAAGTAATAATACGCCGTATTATGACCAATGTGCAGATGCCCCCATGTTTGGGTTGCCAGCTGCTTCAGGAGGCTCAGCAAAGAGGGCGCTGCTCATATAGAAAGTGTATCTGAGGACTATGTCACTCCTTCAAAGGCTTTTTTAAGGTATAGCATAACTTTGTCAAACTTTTTGTTAGGCTATACCATTCAAGGCAGTATCGTGAAGAGATGCTTGGGCCCATTTGTTCTCAGGAAAATAATGGTGTTTTTATCAAGTCTATCAACTCCTAACAACTTTGGTGCCTGTGTATGAGATACTCTGTCACATAAAACTGGAAGTAGATACTGGAATGACAGAAAGGCTTTATTTTTTTGCTTATAGTTTGTGACTCTTGTACCAGACAAAAAAAGAAAAAAAAATAAGAAAAAAAAAAAAAAAGGGCAAGCATATCTATGTCAGGAAACAAGGCATCAAAGCAATTTCACAATTTTCACAAATTTCAACAAAATTCACAGGGAAAAATCAGAAAATAGATTTTTAGTGTATAATTTTAAAATAAAACATACAAAATCTGTAAAATGTCCAGGTTTTGTGATCCACAGATTGCTTCATGCTTGGTAAGATGGCTATTCGTGATTAAATACACTTTGAACACTTGAGATACAGGAAGAGAACTGACTTGTATATATTGCCATTGAACCAATCAATAAGGAGGGCTAATTGCTAGAGGATATTTAATATCATATTCAATAAACATATATTTATATTTGCTGCAAGATGTAACAGTATGGGCCTAACACTGCTGCTACTGAATCTAGTGAACGTTGTGCTAGAAGCATGATTCATAAAACAAAGGCCATTACCTTTGAAATCCTAGGGAACGTATGTCCCAGGTCTTGAGAACTACAAGGTCTTGAAAATGTCAAGGTCTTGAAACTATTAACAGGAGTAAATAGGATGTTGTAATACATTAAACAAATGATAATGCAAACTGCAGGAAAACATACTAACAAGGAAAAGCTAGCAAGAACTGGCAAATTAATTTTGCATACTTGGAATAAACGGGAAAGCAGAAAATGGGTTTTCCCATTTTCTCCCCTTTAAAAGCAATTAGAAGATGTGGTAGGAGTTTTTTTATTCTGGAAAAGGAAGCTCAGGGGCAACCTTCAACAAGGTCTCCCTAGAACTACCTGAAAGGAAGGTGTGGGGAGCTGGGGATTGGCCTCTTCTCACAGGTAACTAGTGATAGGACTAGAGGGAATGGCCTCGAGTTGCACCAGGGGATGTTCAGGTTGGCAATGAGGAGACATTTCTTCTCAGAAAGAGCAGTCAGGCATTGGAACGGGTTGCCCAGGGACGTGGTGGAGTCACCATCCCTGGGGGTGTTCAAGGAAAGGTTGGACGTGGTGCCTGGGGACTTGGTTTAGTAGGTGACATTGGTAGTAAGGTGATGGTTGAAACAGATGATCTTGGAGGTCTTTTCCAACCTCAGTGATTCTATGAAAATGATCTTACGGACAGTAACAGTTTAAAGTGGAATGCATGGTATTGGTTGTTTGTCTTTTATTTCTACTTTATTAGGAAAAAAACGTTTTTGGAGGTAGGGGCACAGGTCTTTGGGGAGGGGAAAACGCACACCATGATACCGTATGATTTTCTGCAAAACATGTAAGTTTTCACATTTCAGGACCCGGTGATAAGGAGAACGATGGCTGCCTTTGTAGAACACCTTAGGCTCTTCAGAGAAAACAAAAAACAGAGGGACCCCCCAACACCTCAAAAGGCTACTGGCACTCTTCACGTTCTAAATCCTTCACAAACGGCAGCGAGCCCTCACAGCAGGGCTGTCAGCGCCGCGTTTCACCGAGACTCGCTCTAACTTTCCAGCAACAAAGAGGAGACCCGTGGGTGGCTCCGAGCCGCCGCGGCGGCGGCTCCCCGGCTCGGCCCGACAACCCACACAGCCCGGGCCGGTGCAGACGTGGCTTCCTCACACCCCACCCCACCCCACCGGCCTGCGCCACCTTCCCCACCCGCCGCCTCCCCGGGCCCCGTCCCGCCCCAACCCCAAATTGTGCCCGCCGACCGGGGGCGGCGGCCGGACCCCCGAGAGGGACCGGGCGGGAGAGGCAGCCCCGGGGCTGCCCGCGCCGCGCTCCCGCAGCCCCGGGGCTGAGCCGTGCGGGGCCGCCCGGGCTCCCCAGAGCCGGCACCGGCGGGGGCACGGCCGGGGGGGCCCCGCGGCCGCCAGCAGTCGGGAGGCCTCGCCGCAGGCCTCGCACCTCGGCGCGGCCCTGCTGGCGGGGCGGCAGCCGCCCGGCCCGGCCCGGCCCGGAGGGACCGAGGGGGGAGCCCCCGGGCAGGGGGCAGCGGGGGCTGCGGGCCCCCGGGGGGCGGCGGGGCGCGGGGCCGGCGCGGCTGCCATTTCTCCTGGCCCTCGGCGCTGTCGGGCGGGAGCGGGGGCGGGAGGAGGAGGAGGAGGAGGAGGAGGAAAAGGGAGGGAGGGGAGAGGGAGGTGGCCGAGCCGGAGTGAAGTGAGGCGCTCAGCTGCCAACACTCACACACTGCCTGCCGCCGCCGCGCTGCTCCCGGACCCCGGGCAAGAGGGGGAGAGGAGGGAAGGCGAGGCAAAGCGAGACGCGGGAGAGGAGGCAGAAGACCCCTGGCAAGGGGAGGTCAGAGAGGAGGGAAGCGCGGAGAGGGGGGAAGGAGCCTCCTCCCCGCCGAGAGACGACTTCCCATGTAGCGGGGGACAGAGGGAGAAGGCTGGCGCTCAGAAACTGTGCGAGAAGCTTTCCCAGCAAGTTACTTAATCCCCGAGGAGCAGAGGGAGGAGGGGACAGCAGTAATCACCGTTGCCGCTCATAATCACTATCCCCAGCCCCTCACCATTTGACCCGCGGGCGGTTCAATGCACTATTCCAAGCTCTTCCTAGTTTCCTCCTCGGGGTAACTTCGGAGGACGCGCCGCCGGTGTCGCCGGGAGGCGAGGAGGAGAAGAGCCTCGGAAGAAGGAAGGAGAAGTTTTGTGGGGGTTGCGTGCGGAGGAGGAGAAGATGGGCTGGAAGCGCCGCTGCTGCTGGGGAGGCGGAGGCGGCGGGGACCTTCTCTGCCGGCTCACCCTGGTGCTGGGGTTTCTGCTGCCCGCCTGCAGGACGCGCCTGTACACCAACCACTGGGCTGTGCGGATAGCTGGGGGGCTGCCGGAGGCCAACAGGATAGCTAGCAAATACGGATACGTCAATATAGGACAGGTAACCCTCCTTGCAACTACTTCCGAGCCGGGCGCCGGGCAGGGGCTCGCGGGGTCCGCTGCCGCCCCGCCGCCGCGGCAGGGGACGGGGACGGGGACAGGGAGCGGCGGAGGTGATGCCCGGGGGCAGGTAGGCAGCGGCCGGGCCGGGGGCTGCCAGCACGGCCGCAGCTCCCCCTCCGCGGCCAGGTGCGGAGCGGGGATCGGGGCTGCGCCCCGCGGAGCCGGCCGGGGGCGGGCGGGCGGCCGGGGGGCCCTGCCGGGTCTCGGCCGGCCTCCGAGGCGGCGGGGGCTGAACTTAGCACTCCTTGCCGCTTCCCTTACTCGGACGGAAAAAAAAAAAAAAAAAAAAAAAAAAAAGTAAAATTTTAGAAAATCGGAATCAAAGCGGAGCGCGTCCCGCGGCCAGCGCGCGTGTCCCCGGCGGCCAGGACGTGGCAGCCGCGGCCGCCGCCGGGGGCGTCCCGACCCCGCGGGTGGTTGGAGGCGCGGCGCGGAGAGGTGACAGCGCTGGCCCCGCTGCCCCGGCAGTGCCGCCGCCATCGGGGCCCCCCGCCCGCTGCCCCGCCGGCGGCCCGGCAGCACCTGGGCTCTGCGGAGCCTGACGGTGCTGGCCTGGGAAGCGACTGGATCCAGGCACGTCCCGGGGTCGCCCCGTGAGCAAATTGCTGGGATTTGCCGGGAGGTGCAAGCGGGGAGCAGCCGCTCGTCGCGGGGTCCCAGCCCTGTTGCCGTAGCGAGGCACGGCTGCCGTTCAAAATGTCCCGGGATCGCCTTTTCAGACAGAGGTTGCGACCGGCAGCCTCGGCTTTCCTGACCACTAGCCACAGAACAGGATTCGCGTATCGTAGGGCTGAGCAAGTCGAGCGCCTGGAATATAATTCTGTTGCACAGCTGTGTGCGAACATCCCAGCACAGTCATTCTAGACAGTAGTTTACATGAATTGAAAGTTTAGGAGTGAGCATTTACAGGTAGAGAAGGTTTCATCTCGTACGTGAGATTCACAAAAATGCAGCCGAGTTTACACAGCAGGCCTTTTACTTCATCCAGATCAAAGTGACACCCGATTTTTGTTTGTGTTGTGAGTCCCCACATACTGTATGCTTTACTCAAAAGTTTGAAGCATGCATCTCAGCTGTTCCCAATCATACCAAACCTGAATGAGACAGTTGTGCAGCATGTTAAGATGAATAATTTACATAAGAAAAGATTGAAAATGACACTGAGGCAGCACAAAACATGATGTATGAAGATGCAGGTATTTAGGCAGGTTGAGTATCAGCTTCCCTCATGGTGCTCTTTAGCAGGTAGGAAGTGTAGCTTCCTCTTAGAGGCATAGAAATTAGAAAGGAAGTTTTGGTGTCAAGATTCAACCTAGACCTTTAAATTGCCATGTTTGTGAAATGAAGGAACTCCGGGTTAAAGTCTGCATATTCCTGCTTAGACCTTTTTAGTGGAGGAACTAAACCCTCCTCCAGTTGGAGGGTTCCCTTCTTCCCCCTTTTATCTTTTATCAGGTCAACTGCCTAACTTAAGGCCTGCTTTTTTTTGTGACTTGCACATCCAAACCTCCTGTTGAATTAAGGAAAGAATGTAGTAAGCCACTGTTGCCTTCTTATGTGCCAGTGAAGTGCCATGTACATAGCTATGACATATTAATAATAGATACATTGCTGATCAGGTGTACAGATAGGAAGGAGAGAAAATAGAGACTATAAATAATGAACAACTGGAAAACATGTTACAGGATATGCAGATGAAAAGAGCATTTGTGAAGGGAGTCAATAGTTATTTAGGTATGCAGATAGGGAGAAAGCGAGTACAAGAGCAATATAAGAATGTTAAATGATGTGTGTATGAGAAAGGAAACTTCACTAATGTATTAAACTACTGATGTGTGGCTCCTTGTCTTCTGTCTGTAACCAGCCTTTAAGCACAAGACACAGGCAGTGGACATATGGGAAGAAATTCCACAGAGCTTGTTGTATGTATTTTGGATTGTTGTCATTGTGTCCCACCAACGCAAAGCTGGGGGCTCTGCCATTGTACGGTTATATATCCTGAGGAATCTTTTATGCATTTGCACAAAGTATTACAAAAATTTCCTTTCATAGATATCTTTCGAGGATGGCCAGTTCCAAGTTTATGGTAATTCCATGCAAAAACATCTCCAAGTGGTATTTCTGTGACAACATGGTTATTATATATAATGTGTATAGTGTATTTTATATATATATATATATATATATATATATATAGTGGTCAGTCTAATGTCTGCAGTTAATCTGTTCTTTTGTTCCCACCTGGTCCTTATACAACTTTCATCAGGCTGACCTGGTCACTACAATTCAGGACCTACAATTTGAGAATTGAGATCATAAACTAATCAGAATGACTCTGGTCTGGCCATACGTATACATGTAAATATATGTTTCAAAGTGTATGTGAAATAATTGTGTAACTGTATTTCTTAAAAAATACACACACAAAAAAAAGTAGATCCTGTTCTGTGAAGGTCACAGAAAAGTCACTGTGTAGAGTAGAGTAAATCACTTGATAGACATGGGTAAAAGGGAGTAAAGTAGTTTCCTTTTAAAGAAAGGAAGTCAGGAACAGTGAGTGAGATTTGGTCGTAACAGGTTTTTTTGCATGGGTTTGGAACAGTGGGGACTTGACATATAACAGAACAGAAGGTGCAAAAGAGTATGAGCAGGGGTAAAAATCTCCTGTTTATTATTGAGAGACAATTGCAAGTAATTTAAAAGTCTGTATTTGGTGTGAGATGTTGAAAGACATTCTGTTAGCTGAATACACCACCAAAACACTGAAAGAGAGAAAACAGTAAGCAAAATTCTCTGCTAGAGGCAGGACTTCCCGTGCTCAATGTCTGTATATGGTAGCAGCTAAGGCCAGCCAATTAAACTTTGGTTTTGCAGATAACATCCCTTCTAGGTAAGCTGGAATAATATGATTAAAGCTAAATGCATCAGTAAGAAGTTTACTTTTGCTTGAAGAAGGTAATTACAAGTCTCATAATAGCACACATCCATAAATAATCTGAAATAGGTGAAAAAAAAAAAACAAACACAAATGTAATGTACTAAGCGTAATGTTTCTGGTTTAATTAAATGTGAAAGTTCACCCTTAAGTAGAAAGTGCAAAAAGCTAAACTCAAGGTGTAAATACAGATGGTCCAAAGAACTGACATAGCACAAATGATGCAGAAGAACATAGTTGAAATATTCCAGAGAAAAGGTAGCAAAATTGTGTACAAAAATAAAAGTCAAGTGGGGACAATGACAAAGAAGCAAACCAGGAGGATTCTGACAGCAGCTAATTGCAAGATTAGAGCTGAAGGGAGTAGTGGAAAATGGAAGAGGGTTTTGAAGGTGTTGTTCTTGCCAGCCTGTTAATTTTGGATGATTGGAGATTTAAGATGATATGGGAGTGAGAGAGAGCAATTAGGTCAGGTTAAAAGGAGGAAACAATTTGGTTGTGTTTGTAGAGAAGTGGCACTGAAAGGTGTGTTACATTGGTCAGTGCAAACAAGATGGTAGACCCAGAAGTCACAAGCACCAGACGACATCCCTTCTCCCGCTTTTTGTTATGTGGTGCACTCTGTTGGTAATAGACAGAATTGGTTCCTCCTTTTGTTGGTACTTGTGTGATCTGGAGAATATCCTTTGAGTCTTGAAATATCTGTTACATTCATTTTCATTGCCATGGTGATGACAGAAAAGCTACAAGGCCTGTCTGAATGATTGTACCAGTCAGTCGTAAACTGATGGATGAGATGTATTTTTTAAAAAGGTCTAGAGATCACCTGCTGGTGAGCAATTGAGAACTCCTGCAACTCACAGCTTCTGGTAAACTCCTTTTGCTGTCAAACTTATCTTGAGGTCTTCATCTCTTGTAAGAGAAATTTGAAACTTCACCCTCTCTGCTTATTGGAAAGGGGAGTTTTCCATTAACTCATAGAAGATTCTGTGCTTTTCCAGGCTGCGTGTTCTGGTTCTTGTTTCCTGCAAATTGGTCCAGCAAACTGCTCATTTATCCTGCATGTTCCTTTTATGTTAACAATGTGAAATTGGCAGTAGACATGGAAGCCTGTTCTTCAAAGATGCTTGAATTCCTACAGTGGACTTAGCAAGGCTGTCATTAACTTTGCTCATCTATGGCTTGGAAAAAAATAGAGCAGCAGTGTCAACCTATAATTGTATCAGCTGTTACAGTGTCTTTTGCAAGATTCTCTTCCCCCTAGGGATGCATGGAGGTTAAGTACCATGAAAACAGAGGCAGTAGATCTCTTTGTTGACTGAGACAAAGGAGCAGGTTAGCCTTCTGGAAGTTGGTGATTATTATGATTGTGCCACCAGTGTGGAGCTTCTCATTTGGACAGCAGATCCTGCTTGAGCAGATACTTCAATCAATAGACTTTTGTCCCAAGACTTTAGACTTCAGTACTTGCTTACTGTTAATGTAAGTTCTGTGACAACCACAGCTTTGTTAAGGCTAATGAAGCAAATGTGGTGAAGCATCAGCATAAGCTACAAAAGAATCAGTCCCAAGGCCATCTGTGTCTGACTGAACTTCAGAATAGCACAAATGGTAACATCATGACTTAAATGTGTGTATACATATTTATATTTTCTTTTACCATTTATTACAGGCAATTCTGGCCTGCCATGAAGTACAATTAGTAGTTTCTCTAACAAGCGAATCCTTGTCTCATGTGAAAAAATGTCTCCACTCCTTTTGCACGAGTCTTTCAAGCAAGCAGTCTGGACTGGCAGTCCCTCTGGGACTGTGATAAGGTAGTATAATGCAAAGCAGCCAAGGAGTTGTTCTAAGTTACATGCTGGATGGAGCAATTTGGGATACACCCTGTCCCCTAGCAGCTCCTTGCTGACATATTTTACCCTTCTGTCTTGCAGTGGCTGTACTAAGCAGACATTTGTCTTGGAGTGAAGTGTTGGTCACTGACATTTTAGAAAGTTTCT